GAGAAGGAGGCAGGGAGGAGGAGGGAAGAAGAAGAGGAGGAGGAGGAAGAGGAAGAAGACAAAGAAGGAAGAGGAAGAAACAAAAAAGAAATAAAGAAAGAAGACATTATAAACGATTATTTTTTAAAAAAAGAATTACAAAAACAATGTTATAAACGATTCACAAGGCGGCCACTTGGAAGATAATTATATTCCATTATTTGAGGGGCTGCCACAGAGAAGAGGAAGTCAAACTGTTCTCCAAAGCACCCAAAGGCAGAAGAAGAAGAAGCCACGGATGGAAACTCACCAAGGGAAGAAGCAACCTAGAATTGAGAAATTTCCTGACAGGGAGGAAAATTAATCAGGAGAACGACTTGCAACGGGAAGTTGTGGCTGCTCCAACGCTGGAGGCTTTTAAGAAGAGACTGGACAGCCACTTGTCTGGAATGGTATAGGGTTGCCTGCTTGAGCGGGGTGGGGGTGGAATAGAAGACCTCCAAGGTCCCTTCTCAACTTCTGTTATACTTCTGCATTAGGGACGATTGGCCTTCCTCCTATGCCCATAGTTGAGCCTCTTCATCTCCTCCTTGTGAGCAGAATCCACTGGCTGCCCACCACGAAAAACCAAACGCTGGCTTTAGCCCGGCCTCGGTTCGATCGGGCAGCCGTTCTTTACTCATTGATTTTGCAACCCAAAGGGAGCTTGTTAGCCGCTTAGGATGTTCGTTAGCATAAGGTGGATAACATTCTTTTTGGACCATGATAGCAACAGTACTTATATACCGCTTTGCAGTGCTTTGAACCGCCCTCTCTAAGCGGTTTACAGAGTCAGCCTCTTGCCCGCAACAATCTGAGTCCTTGTTTTACCCACCTTGGAAAGGACGGAAGGCTGAGTCAACCTGCAGCCTGGCGGGATTCGAACTGCCAAACTGAAGTAAGCCGGCAGTCAGCAGAAGTAGCCTGCAGTACTGCACTCCTAAACCGCTGAGCCACCGAGGCTCCTCATGAGCCCTGTTTGGTGAAGAACCCCTATTGTACCAGCCCTTTGGTGCAGGTTGGAGGTTGGAATAGAGATTGGGTCTCCAACCTTGGCAACTTTAAGACTTGTGGACTTCAGCTCCCAGAGTTCCTCCGGCTGAGAGGACTAGAGGACCTCAAAGGTCCCTTCCAATTTGTTATTCTACATTCTCTGGGCCTGTGGTGTGAGTCAGATCATTCCAGAAAGTTATCCCAGGCCTCATCTGGCTTGGTGTCAAACCCGAAATTGACATAGGCGTAGCCATTTTATTTAGCCTTATTATATATTCCTGTTTTTTTTTTTCTTTCCCTTTGCTAGTTATGGGAGGAAGGGTTTCGGGCTTGCCACATTCCTACGGTGGGAGGAAGGAGATAGAGAGAGTTGTTTAGGCTGGGTGGTTCTTCTTCCCGTGGGAAACCCTGCTGAGACCTGGAGGTGGAGATTGATGACACCAGGAAATGCTGATTTACTTCTATTGGGAAATGTGACTTTTGGGAGCTGTTTCTAACTTCCAATATTACGTGGTGTAATTCCGGGTTGGGTCAGATCCGGAATTACAACAGATTTTGCCACTTTGATGTTTTCCTAAATAAAAGAAATTGTTTTGGAAGATGGACTTGGCTTTTTTCTTTTTAAATGGATTTCATCCCTTGGAAACCTGCCACTCGGGTCTTGCAAAAAAGAAACAACAACACACAAAAACGCATCACAACCAGTGATGGGATTCAACCGGTGGAACAACCGGTTCACCCAAACTGGTCCGTACCGGCTGAATCCCATCCCTGACTACAACCAAAGACAGAAATACCTCAGCTGGCTTGTGGAGAAGAAATGAAAGCCAAGATGGGGTTCAGGGCCGCTTCCCATCAGAGTGGGTGGATTGCGGGGAAGGGGGCCTGTACCCCCACACCAAGGGACGGCCCGTCTCCTCCATATGTCTCTGGGAAATCGCCCCCTTCCCTACCTCTGCCGGTCTCTGGTTCGCTCTACTGGGTTCGGCACTTTGAAAGTGTCAGCAAAATCAATGCTACATAAATCACCCATTGTTGGCGGTGAGTAAGGGGAAGACGGGAGACTCTGAGTTTTAAACCATCTTCGAGGTATTCCCTGGGCCAAAAGTCAACAGCCGAGAATTATAAAGCTGTCACACAAATCATCGCTCCTGAAGCACCAGCTTTGGTGACAGCCGAAAGCCAGGTTCCTCTCCAAAACCTCCATTTAGGTCAACACCTCGGCGGAGAGATTATTTCCTTGTCAAGCAACCTATTTGGGAGTGCCTCTCTCTCTCTCTCTGTTTCTTTCTCTATTTCTGCCTGTCTCTTTTTGTTTCGCTTTCTCTCTCTCTTTTCTCTTTTTCTCTCTTTCTCTTTTTCCTTCCTTCTCTCTCTCTGTTTCACTTTCTCTCTCTCTCTCACTCTTTTTCTGCCTTTCTGTCTTTTTGTTTCGCTTTCTCTCACTCTCTTTCTCTTTTTATGCCTCTGTCTTTTTGTTTCTACTTCTTTCCCCCTCTCTCTTTCTTTCCTTCTCTCTCTCTGTCTCTCTTTCTCTCTCTATGTGTCTTTCTCTCACACTCTTTTTCTGCCTCTGTCTCTTACTTTCTTTCTCTCTTTCTCTTTCTCTTTTTCCTTCCTTCTCTCTCTGTTTCACTTTCTCTCTCTCACACTCTTTTTCTGCCTCTCTGTCTCTTACTTCCTGTTTCTGTTTCTCTTTCACTTTTTCTTTCCTTCTCTCTCTCTCTCTCTCTCCCCCCTCCCCTCCCCCTCTCTCCTGTATTTCTCTTTCTTTCTATCT